GTGAAAATATTCCGGCAACTGTTTTTATAGCAATATAGGTGTTTATTGCGTTGTGAATGCAATTTTACGCGGGAATTACGCCACTATATGAAAACTATAGTGTTATCTAATCTGCCCAAGTTCACAACCTTGAATGGTTTAAATCAACCTCGTACCCAGGATCTTTCTTTGGGAAAGACCCACTGAGCTATACTTAATATATCTGGAGATCGTGCTCCAATACCTCGTCAGTCAAAAATGTGTGGCCAAAAACATGGCGGATTTTGGCCAAATTTACGTCATTTTGACGTCACAATCGACCTAAATTTATGGTGAACACCACTGACCTAAAATGCTAACGTGAAGAAAAAAGTTATTCACACCCCCCTTTCAATTTGCTTAAAACAGAAGGAAGTAATAATATTTGTGCTGTTACTCTGAGTGTATATCCACACCGGGCGAGCTTGAAAAATATGCCCGACCACGGTGGGATTCGAACCTACGACCTTTGGAATACTAGCCCAATGCTCTTCCAACTGAGCTACGCGGTCAGGACGGTTCGAGTAAATGATATTTCGGAACAGAATCTAGTTCCTTCGATACCAATGTATTCTAGTAATATGATTTTTTCTGTGTTGGTGTTGTGTACTCAGGTGAATATGATATTTGTGATGTTACTCTGAGTGTATATCCACACCGGGCGAGCTTGAAAAATATGCCCGACCACGGTGGGATTCGAACCTACGACCTTTGGAATACTAGCCCAATGCTCTTCCAACTGAGCTACGCGGTCAGTTCGAATCCCACCGTGGTCGGGCATATTTTTCAAGCTCGCCCGGTGTGGATATACACTCAGAGTAACAGCACAAATATCATATTCACCTGAGTACACTACACCAACATAGAAAAAAAAAAGGAAGTAAATTCAAAATTTCGGTCGGAAATTTCTATATTGAAACGAGACATTTGCAACCATGCCAACTTTTTGTTCAATTCCTGGTTGCCAAAAATCTACTGAAAGAAAGGACCTGTCCTCACATGCGTAAGGCTCGTATAATCTCTTTTTTTTTAATAATTTAACGCAATG